TGATAAAATGGTGTGCACATCTTCATGGTCATGATCAGACTTTTCCTCAAGCACTACCAGCAGATCAAAGTTTTTACATATCCTGTAAAATATTAGAATATTAAAAACTTCTGTACAGACATTCATGCCTTCTAGATGATTGATCCTGATGACTTTCCCTCTGATGCTTCGATCTTTCTTCTAGCGCCACCATGAGGTTGACATTTGTGGGAGGGACTGAAATCTCTCTACACCTGTAGGATGGATTATCATGAAATTTGCTGCACATATTCAAGCCCCCCTTCAGAATAAACCGTAATGACTCTGGTGACGATCACCTGACTTTTCCTCTAGCACCATTGGGTCAAGATTTCAATTTGTCCAATAGTTTGGTTGATGTCCAAATACCAGCCTAATTAATGAATCACCATTAGCTGTACTCTAGTTCTGTTTATTGCTAATGTTAAAGCAAATATTCATATGCTAACATGCTAAAACTAAGATTGTGAACATGGTAAATATTATACCTGCTAAATTTCAGCATGCTAGCATTGCCATTGTGAGCATGTTAGCATGCTAATGTTAGAATTTAGCTCAAATCTATAGACTCTGGGTCTTGTTTAAATATACATTAAGTTGTATATACATTTTATTTTGAACTAAGATTTTTGTAGCACTCGATTAATAAAATAATAAAATAATTAAGATAGACAGATAGAATAGACAATTTTAGATAGATAGTTCTAAGATTAGATAGATAGGATAGCATCAGATTAGATAGATAGATAGATAGATAGAATAGAAAAGGATAGACAAATACATTTTAGGTCAGGACTATATTAAAGCATTTTCTACTTGTGCTTTACTGAAATGACCCATTCACTAGCAGTACCAAGATATCCTTTCATTAAAGCAACGTTTCATCTTCTTTCCACAGCCACTACTTTGAACCTCTTTTGAAGTCAATATCCTTGTTAAAACATGGAAGCAACTTTGTGATGATCTATATTCTTTCTCAACCTATACCACACCATTCCCTAAGAAACAGGAGCATTTTGTATCACAGTGCTCAGATGCGAGGGAATAAAACAAAGGCTTTCATTTAACTTTCGCTGGTATGGAGTTACCCCTGCGCTATAATGTCAGTAAGTGCTAACATTACATAAATCCATTACTTAGTCCCTGTGCTGTGGCATTTTATGGAGGAGAGAGGTTAGCCACACTGCAGTTATCATAACAGCATCCCGTGATCTGAACTCTGTGTGATCAGATTGGTTTTAATAGACTCTGGATTACTTGGAGGCAGTTCCTCAAAGCTAAACATCTCTGTGCCTAGAATTAGAGTGCACATCTGAGGTGAAAACGATTTGTTCGGGAGAATGTCACTGCTGCAATGAAAGAGCTTATACGCTATTATCATACACTACCTTAAAAAGATGACAGGGCAGCGACTCAGAGATCCTTTGATACATTTTACACCGCTCAGTATTGAGGGAGATAACATAAAATTTGAGTAGTCTAGTATAAGCAGGCTGTGTATTATGTTTATTAGTCTCTTTGCATTTGTGCTGCAGACACAGACTATTTTATTCCATATTGCCCACAAGTTTTTCATCCTCAGTTAATGTTGTGCATAGCAAAGCGCACTTGGATACTATTGAAACAGCCTGAGTTTTGAGCTCACAGGAACCCTTTCATTAAAGTAAAAGAAATCCTGTTGTTATTGGTAAAATGCCGTCTGTAGTGGTGTGAAGGTATGATTTTCTGCTTTAACCATTTATTTCATACAGTGGTGGTTTCAAACCCTTGTGTTCAGCCATGTGCACTTATGACCCCTTGTCGCATGTCGTGCCAATAAAAGTCTCACAAGATTGTTGGGTTTAGATTGTTTCAAAAGCAAAATTTGTCACAACCATCAGGTTGAGATGATGTGGATGAAGTATTCAGATCATTTACTCGAATAAGTCGAAACTTGACTCAAGTAAAAATACAGATGTATAAGCAACAAAACTACTTAAGTATCAAAAATAAAATATGCAAAATTTCTCCTGTCAGTGATATATTGTTATAATTATATTTCAACATATAAGCAGTACTTATATTGTAAAGATGGAGTAAATTTTAACATTTATATAGGTTCCTGGATTTTTTAATCTACAGTGATACTGGATATGTTACAAACTGTGATGATAAAAATTATAATGTTTATATTTGTCAATTTTCAATTTAAAAAAAGTAACCATAAACTAAAGCTCTCAAATAAATGTAAAAAGTGCATAATTATTTTTATAAGTAGCAAAGAATTGTAAACTAGTAAATATACTGAGTTAAATTCCATCACTGTGAACCACTGTTATACATGTCTTGCCTCTCTGTAACAAGGGAATAAATCACCTTGGTATTGCCAAAGGACTTTGCTTCTGTTTACCTTTTTTTTCTATAGAACGACATACACCACAGGATTAATGCAAAATAATTGTGTTAGCAGTAACTTAGAATTTCCTATAGCGCTTTCGGGATGTGATTGGGTCGATTTTATGCAAAAGAATGCCATTCACGTGAATGCAGAACCACAGGAGGAACCACTGAGTGTAAAGTGAAAAGTAAAGTGTTCCTGTGCAGCCAGTTCATGTGTGATTACACGGCTGAATGCCGCACCGTCGCTATCCATGGTCCTGAACCTCCAACCGGTGCCAGAGGTCGGCTGCAGACTGCAACGTCCTATGAAAGAGTATCGACTTTTTGTAATAGGAAGTGTGACCACGGAGTGCACCCAGCAACAGATGCGAAACAGAAAAAAATGCTTTGGGGGTTGAAATGTCATGTGAACAGTTGGGTTCAACCACTGAACACCTCAGGGGTGTTATCGACTCCCTTCAATGCTTTTAAAGGCCAGGGGTTCGTTTAGACCGGGCTTTGCTGTTATTCGCCCTGATGGTGTGCGCGACCACAATTTCCAGGGACCACACGAGAGGGAATGAATTTGTGAAAGTGAATCTAAGCTGTTGACTGCCAGGAAGAGTTGTTCGGTTGAACTATTAGAAAACATCTAGGCCATGCAGTCTGGAATAGAAATTAGTTCAACTGGTCTGCAGATTGATCTAGTATTTGTTTTTATATAGATTTATAGGATACTATCTTATTATATGTTCATATTCCCAGAGTTTTGCCTTGAGTTGTTTAATTAATCGTACTTTAGTGTTTTTCTTTTTGCTTTTGCACATTTGTTACATTACATTAGCTCCAGTTAGCTCTCGCATGTCCTTGAATCGAACACATCAACAATGTCGGCTGTCAGGTCTGCAAAGAACAGGTAGTCCTACCTGTCAGCCAAAAACCTTTTTGAAATATGTACTGTTGTTACAGTTCTGTAGTTATGTGTCGTGCTGGTTTGCATTCAATGAACAAACACGACCCAAAAAACTCTAGCCTGATACTCCCTATAAATACTTTTTGTGTTAGTAATTTAATTATTTGCACACCTTTATATTTGTAGCATCTTAATATTCTTGCCTGTTGATCTCTAATATTAAAAACCGTGTCGTTTTTTTTTATTATATATGTTCCATTAATATTCCCTTAATAGTTCCAGTTGAATTTGCAGAAACAACTATGGGCCTCAATATTTCTTTAAAACATGTTATAGAATTACTATAACGTATTTTTTAGCTCATAGCTCATGATACATTATACAGAATTATACCGTTTAATAGTTTGAGCTTAGGTGGTTAAGCATCTAGTGGAAGAAACTTCTGCTGTTTTGTGAAAAAAAAAGTGTCGTTGACCTATGATGTATGGGCTGTATCCTGGGATTATGTATTGCATATCCTGAAATTTGATAATTAAATTCCAAGATTCTCTTAATTACTTTATTATAATTTCTGTAGTAAGTTATCTGCCACATTACTCGCTATGTTACCTTCCAATTACACCCCTGTTATTGGCGGCTGCATGCCTTCTTACCTCCAAAACCGTGTTACTTATCAGGTAAAAAACAGCTCAGGTGTTCACCTTTTCTACCGTGTTTCATCTCTCATACCACGAGAGGACGGTCAAAACTGATCGGCGGATTGTGCATGTACCTATGCCGCTTGAGATATGCCACTTTGAGTGTGGGTCGGGGGGGGGGGGG